TGAGAGGCGGGAAGAAGGTTAGAGGCCAGGGGGAGAGGATGGTTAGGGAAAGGGGTGGAGGGGGAGAGGGAAGGTGTAGGGAGAGGGTAGTGAAGGGGAGGGAGATGGTTGAGAGGGAGGGTGGTAGAATATTAGAGGGGGAGGAGAGAGTAAGGTTACGTAAAGGGGAGAGAGTTGGTTGAGAGAGGGGAGGGTTAGAGAGGAGGTGGGGGAGAGGAGGGTTAGAGAAAGGGGTGGTGGGAGAGGGGTGGGTCGAGAGGAGGGAAGAAGGTTGGAGGGGGGGGGGTTACGGAAATGAGTGGTGGGAGAGTAGTGGTGGGCGATGGGTGGTTCGAGAGGGGAGAGAAGTAGTTGGAGTGGGGAGGAGAGGAGGGTTAAGGAAAGGGGTGGTGCGAGAGGGGAGGTGGGAGTGGGGTGGGTTGAGAGGGGGTAGAAGAAGGTTAGAGGGGGGGGGGGTAGGGAAAGCGGTGGTGCAAGATGGGTGGGTTGAGAAGAGATAAGAAAGTTAGAGGGGTGGAGGGGGAGGGAGAGAGGTGGTGGGAGAGGGGTGGGTTGAGAGGGAGACAAGGGTTAGGGTGAGTGAGAAGGATGAAAGGAATAAGAAGTGAGAGGGGGGTCAGGGCAAGAGACGAAATGGGGAGTGGATGTGGGGAAGAAGGGAGGGGGGGAGATGTGGCAGGAAGGAAAGGGGAGAAATGGGGAGGGGAAGGAACGGAATGGAGGATATGGGTATGATGATGATGATGATGATGATGATGATGATGATGAGGAGGAGGAGGAGGAGGAGGAGGATAATGATACGGATGATGATGATGATGAGTATTATTAATATTATTGTTATTATTATTAATGATCATTCATAGCTCAAGGTCGCCTCTTAAGTCATTTTTTAGGTTCTGTGTCAGGTCATAGTTCAATGTCGTCTGTTACAGTTCTTTACAGGTCAGATTATGTTAAAAGTAAGGTTATACATGTAGTTTAAGGTAGCTTCCTACAGTTGATTACAGGTCAGGGATTTTAGTTCAAGGAGAGGTCATAGTTCAAGGTAGCGTCCTACGAATCATTACAGGTAAGGGATTTCAGTTCAAGGTAAGGTCATAGTTCAAGGTAGCGTCCCACGGTCGATTACAAGTCAGGGATTTTAGCTCAAAGAGAGGACATAGTTCAAGGTTGTGTCTTACCGTGACCGAGTTATGCGAACGTCGTCTGGTGCCGTTGACCCGGTGCTCCTTGTCCACGTGACCTCTGAAGGAAAGCCTGGCCTTTGACCTCAGCGCCGACCCGAAAGACATCTGGCTCGAGACACAAAGGTGGGTCAAGGTCAGTGACAGTGAGAGTACACGGCTGACCGTTTTAGGAGAGTTTTACGGCACTTGTAACACAAATAGATCATATTGTTTTACGAGACTTCAAAGAAAGAGTTTTACTTCACTTGCAACACAAACAGATCCTATTATACATGATAGCATATTAAGTGTTAATTCTAAGAGAGAGTTTAGGGTACTTGCAACGCTAAATATATTATATATTTGACTGCCTAGGGGTTAATTCTAAGAAACAGTTTTACAACATTTGCAACATGAATGTGCTATACGGAGAGAGGGAGAGGGAGAGAGATAGAGAAAGAGAGAGAGAGAGAGAGAGAGAGAGAGAGAGAGAGAGAGAGAAAGAAAGAAAGAGACAGAGTGAGAGACAGAGAGACAGAGACAGAAAAAAACATACCTAGGAATTGAGAACCTTACCCGTGTGGTATCCGAGTCTATCTTGGACTTCTAGACAAACTCTGCATCAGCCAAGACAG